GTCCATCAGCTGATACGCAATAACTTCCTACTTTGGGGTCACCTCCTTTGTGTTTATGCTCTTGCTTTCTGGGAAAAGCTTTTTTCATATTCCAGTCAGTATCAAAAGAATCCATTTCAGATTTTACGGCAACACCCAGCACATTTGGTCAGTACTAAGGAGATTGCACTCAATGAACAGATGATTCTGTATTGGTCAGTGTACAAATCTAATTAAGACAAGCGTAGTGCATAATTTCATAAAGCTTTCATCATTTACTGTTGTTTATCTGTTTTGTGTATACTTATGCATAAGGGAAAAACAAGATTTTAAATGTTTTTACAAAGGCATCATAAATAGCATTAGCTATATGATGTATGTTACCGATGTTAGTACCATATAGGACAACAGAAGTTTCATTTTTGTCTTTCTCTTTTTCAAAGGAGCAGAAATACTTCTGTCATAAGCATTACCTATATTTTCCCTATATTATGCTAAAAAGATAGAAGAAAAATACACTGCTACCTGACCATTTTAAGCCCGGTTCTATTTGAACATGCAGACATATTTTATTAAAGTTACAGTGTGCTAATTGGTAATAATACGCTACTGTTTCATTTAGAACTAAAAAATGCAAAGATGACTCTATGGCTTTAAATTGTGTTTTAATAAAGACAGCCATTCTTGAGGTATATAAATGTAGTATAAAAAATAACTAAAAAGGAAGAGGATACTGCTGGCAGGCTCGCTTTATTCAGCTACTCCTGAAATAGCTTAGTTTGCCAAAATCTGTTCAAGTGTTTTTTCAGTAAGTAAGGTCTTCTTGTGATGGCAAGTAAAGCATCATCTCTGTCTCTTTTATCACTAGTATTAAGGGAAGGGAGTAGATTTTTCCACTGATGAGCATGTTGCCATTGCAGTTTTTAAAGTCTTAACTCATAGCTGTTTCTTAGTGATTTATTTAAAAGACAAAAAACCCCACCTTTTTGTCACAGAGGTTTTCATGTCAGATGCAGTCTGTTTAATCACGCCACCACGTTTACTCTAATGTAATCCTACTTCCTTTCTTTACAAAACCAAACTTTATCTTAGATCTAATTTTCTGGAAAGAAAATTTATTTCTCTTTGTATCGCTTATAAAATGAAGCTGAACACCAGGGGAAACGTGTGTGAATAAGGAAAAAGGAACGTATGCCAGCTGCTCCCTCTCATTTCTGGTAAGATTGCTAGAATAGATGTTGTTTTCTCTTTATGATGCAAGAATGTTAACATCTTGACCAGGAACCCCTTTTCTCTCTAAGACATCAGAGCTTCCTGTGAGTATTTGAAATGCTTCAAACTCATGCACTGATCTCTGGACTTTCACTGGGCTCTGACGGAGGTTGATGAGGATAGACTCTGCTTTGTGTTAGTGGAATCGAGATCACAGTAAGGACCTGACCTTACCTTCTTCTCCACATCACGTCTGTAGCTGAAGTGATGACTTGCTGTCTGGAAGGACGTTGGAGCATGTCCTATTTCAAGGCCGTGCTTCAACATACTGTACAGACAGTGATAGAAGATAATACGGCACAGAATTTCTTCCTGAATTTCAGGCTTCCTTTTCCTTAGTTCTTTACCTGTCCTGCTCAAGGGAACATAGCAAAGCCAACCTCATTTGAGAGGGATCTCACAGCCTCTGGGGTGATGAAACTCATGCCTTATGTCAAAAGCTGTTGAGTTTGTTCCGTTGCTGTTGTGTTAATCAACATCTCTGTAAACTAAGGCCTGAGCATGAGTTTGAGCAGTATCACAGTTATCTCTGCTGTTGGATTACTGGTGTGCCTCACGTTGTGGTTTTGGTTGATGCCGGTGAGCACTCCCTGAACCACAGCTGAGGGCATAGATGAGGCACGTGCACAGAAGTCATGCAGATAAGACTACTGGGATTGAGTGGGAAGGTTTAGCTGGACGTGGCGTGTGCCACACGCTTGCCGGAGCAGGGAATGATCCTGGCATGTTTTATTTATAACTATGCACATGGCCAGGCAGTCCACTCCACAGCATCAGAAATGGATGAGGAAAAGTTTCCTGAAGAAGAGGTCATTTGAGTGGAAACATTTATTTCAGTTATTACTCTGTTCCCTTCAGGAGCCCTTCTGACAGCAGCAGAGCTGGCTAAAACTGATGTTCTCCATGTTCTCCATTAGACATTAGTCCACGTTCTCCAGATTCAACAACCAGCAGTCCCTCTGCCTCACTACTGGAAATCACTGCAACCCAAAACAAACAATAGCTTTTCAATGTGTCATCCATCCTCGTGGTGTTAAGAGAAGTACTGCCGGCAATAATAACTGAGCTGAAAAACCTATATCACTAGCACAATGTTTGGAAAGTTATCTCGTATATATTAAAAGGCCCATGGTGAACAGAAAGCCTTCACTTCAGTGCCAGATAGAGGAGTAACTTTACTATCTTTATAATAAAAAACTTAGTGTGACCAGTACAAAATTTTTCATTTAAATGGATCCCACGAGTGTGATATCTATGGTGTATGTGCGTCGGGAATGCGAGCGTTTATTTCATACAGACATACGATTGTATTAGGTTTCTAAATTAGTTACAGCACTGTCGGCAGAAGGCATAGGCTTTGTAATAAGATTTGTGCACAGAGTGGAACCATTTTAAAAAATCAAGGGGTCTGTTTCAGAATAAAGCTAAGTGGAGAAGGTCATTCGAGCTTTGCTTTGCAGGAATGTGGTTTTCCAGCCAGTACAGACCCGTTTCCAAGTCACTGTTTTGCCCTCGGTTATTTGCAGTGCCGCATGTCAGAGCGCGTGGTCCAGCTTTCTCCAGAGCGGGTGCCAGGCTCTGACTTTGCAGTTCAGGTGTGACCAAATCCTTGCACAAGGATCAGGAAAACTGTGTTTTCTGCCAAACCTTGCAGTTGTTTTAGCACATTATGGGTTGAGCTGCTGGTAGCACAAAAGAACTGGACACGAGGGGGTGCAAGATATCTAAGCTCCTGGTTTTTCTCCTTATGAACTGTGGCATTGAGCTTCTTGTCTCTCTGACAGGTTTTAGTGGAAGGATAAGTGTGCTGTATAGCAGAGGTTTGTGGAGAGCTCAAAAACTGTTCACATGCATTTGGACTCAAATCCTGATCTCTGTTAAAAGTACACACCATTTTTCATTTCTACAGCTCAGATACTGTCCCCTTCCATATAGAGCACTTTGTCACCAGTGTACAAACAGGCGGGAAGGTTGTTCACTCAGTGTCACCTACCCTGTCACTAACAGCAGTGCTAGGGTGAGAAACTTACTCTTTCGAGTTCAGGAAGTGCTTGTCGGGGCTGTGGTACCCACAGAGAGACCTCTGAGCCACCTGCTGTCCCCTGTGGCTGCAGGGCTCAGTGGTCACAGGAGCCACAGCACCTTGATGTTTCCAGTTACAGGTTGGAGCATGTGTCTGTATGTATCTCAGAAAAAATTACCTGTCTTCATTAATCAGGCGCTGAGCGTTTGGTCCGTGTAATGTTTGAAGCTAATGAGTGGAAGGACACACTGTCTCTTTGGGGGATCATCCCTCTGCCACCTCTCCCCTCTCCTGTCACCCGCTTCTGTCTCTCTTCACAACTTGTCTTTTCCCTCCTCTCTCCTTTTCTCATTTTTTAATTTTTCTGATCTTCCCTTCAGCAGTTTCCAGTTGTCCACTCACTGTCAGGACTTCACTCTTACCTTTCCTCTTTCCTCCCTCTTGTAAGGAGAGGTGCAATTACTGCTGCCAGGCCTGGTGTTTCATGGCTTTCAACTTGATGCTCCCTCCCCACATGCACGCCACTAAAATTAACAGAGGGAAATGGAAATGGGCACCTTTCATAAATAAAGCTTCAGCAATCTGTGGCCTCAAAGCGCGGTCGCCTGGACTAGTTGGAGGACGGGCCGAAATGCCGATGTGCTGGTGCGCGTTCGCCCACTGGGCAGCGACACGCCATGTCTCTTGCCTCACCAGGTGCGGTGAGCAAACGCTGTCCTTCAGGACGTTTTGCCTCGCAGAGAAACGGGAAGATGGGATTTTAATATGCAAGCAGAACAGAAAAGAAGGCGGATTTCCTCCAGATATAAGAAAATAACCTTGCCATCTCTTTGGCACATCCTCTTCAGCGCTGAAAGCAGCACTAAAACCTTTCAGGGTAAAACATTAGAAAGCCAGCATCCCTGCATAGACATTTCAGGGGCAGGATTGCAGGACCTTTCCCAGTTCATGAAAGCTTAAAAAACTCACCACAAAACTCTCTTCTTCTCCCATTTAGTAGGCTTTTGGTTCTGTTCCTTCATGTGAAGTTTCTAGATTTCAGCATTTCACTAGGTCTCTTGCTGTAGCTTTTGAACCTTAATTTAAACTGGGATTCATTTATATACTTACAACAGGTAAAAAGGAAATAGTGCAATACAGGTGTACTGGGGATAGACCAGAAGAAGGACCTAGAGCAGAAACACACACCAGAACAACATTACTATTTTTTTGTATTTTGACTGGTATGACTCCTCTTCTCACAAAGGGAAATTTAAGCTCCTGAGAGTCTGTGGGCAGTAGAGGAGTATTTACAGTGGTTTTCTATATGCTGAAGTTAACGCATTTTGGTAGCAACATATAATTTTGGAAGTTATGATACTCCCACCATAAGTCGTCAGGCAAATTGCCTACTGCTTATTAAGTAATGCAGATAATTGCCTTTAGGTTTTTTCCTTAAAGATTGTTTTAGGTTTAAAATCAGCAGCCATTTGTAATGTAAGCAGGACTGCCCTGTCTTTCTTTTACAAGTAAAAATTCTTGAGCCTTGTGTACAGATTTTGGTTGTTGAGACAGCTTTGCTGACTCTGAGATGTGTTTGTTTCTGTTCATATAAAAATAGCAGTTTTCTGGGCCTCTTTAATCTGAAAATAACTAAAGAGGGTTGGGTTTTTTAGTATCAAAGATTTCTTAAAAAAGAACAGTTACGTGAATATTAATTTTTGCTTTGGTGCTTTTTTCCCTTTAGGTTTTATGGCAGGCATACAGAGGAACCCCCAAATGTCACAGTATGGACCTCAGCAAACTGGACCTTCCATGTCACCACACCCCTCACCTGGAGGCCAAGTGCATCCCGGCATTGGTAGCTTTCAGCAGAGTAATTCAAGTGGTACTTATGGGCCTCAGATGAGCCAGTATGGACCACAAGGTAAAATGCCTGCTGGTAATACTATATGATAATTTTTTTATATGTATTCGTAAAAAAAAAATATATATATATATAGTATATGTAGGTGGGTATGTGATTTCTTAAACAAACAACAACAACAAAAAAAACCCCACAAAAGATACACAACACGCTCCCCCAAAAAACTAAACCAACCAACCTGTTCTCCAGAGTTATAGCTGCATCTTGTAGAAGAAGCTGCTACTGTTATTAGCACAGCTCTCTGTATAAAAATAGTGATCTCAAATTGGGCAAGGAAATGATGAATCTGTTGCATTGCCAGGGCCATTGTTCAGGAGCCCAAGAATGTCATCTCTGCGACAAGGCCGCGTTTGACCAAGCATGGAATAAGGGTCACAACACCAATCCCAAAATAGGACTTCTTTTTTTAGATGGAATCCCAAGGCCAATCTGAAATTGCGTGGTGACTGTGAGGGTTAAAGTCTTCTAATGAGCATAATAATGCCGTGGCTACTGTGGGAATATAATATTGAGCTCTAATGCATACGATTTATGAATCTTAACTAACCCTTCAGACTGAGAGAGATGTTTCCTTTTATTTTGCTTGTTTGACAGAATTGTTGGAGGACTAAAACAAAAACAGAATACACAGTTTCTGCCCCTGGACAACCTTGAACTTGTCTATTGTTTTGCCTTTAATGGATAACCTTTATAAAGTATGCATCTGTTTAGGGGTTTAATGAAGTTGAAGTCAAGCCACAGAATATATAAGGGGCAGTATTTTCTTCTTCAGAGGTACATAAAGAAGCTTTTCTATTTCAGCACTTCCTCCTATTGCTTTCTTGCTTAAAATCCTCAAAAAGGACTGGAGCCAGCGATGGGAAATTCTGTAGGGGCTCGGTGGCTCACCCGTGCTAGCAAGGACGGTTATTTTAGTCCTGGGAGTTTCTGAGAACCAGCTCTGATGTTTGTTTGCAGGGAGCCGTGCTGCCCTGCGCAGCGTTCCTCTCTGTTTCATCTCTGTTGTAACGTTCTGAGCGCGGGGCTACAAGCCAAGATTTCCCAGTTTCTAATTTTGGCTCTGCCTTCTACACCATCTTTCAACTTAGGCAAGTAGATTCATTTCTCTGCTTCGCTTTCCTTAACTGTAAAATGGGGCTAGTAATGCCTTGTAGCCATGTGTGAAGATTAATTACCTAACTCCAGTTGACTGGTGCTTTCCTTTTATTTGGAAAGCATTTTGTGGCCATAAAATGCTGTCCAAGTGCTTATTTTTATCTACACAGTGAGCAACTAGCTTAACTGGTAAAAATCCAGTGGATTTATGATGTGCTATCCTGACTTCCAGCTGTACCGCTGCTGCTGAGATTCCGAACCATGGGAATAGTGGGTGTCAAGTGCAGTAAAACATTAGCCATCCACGCTGATTGAATGGAAGGGGTTTTGTACTAAATCAATGCATTTAAGTAACACACCGAATACTACTTTCTTTTTTGCTTGAGTTCAGCAGTTCTTTTCCTCCCTCTGTAGATGAAAGTGCCTATGTAATGATTTTATGGGTCGCGGTCAGGAAGAAACGGCTATTAAAAAGTGAACTTGAGGGGCAGGAAGAAAATGAGCATCATTGTCATTAGCAGGCCATTTCAGAAGGGTCTGGTGAACAGTGTGATGGATGACAAGCGTGTTCTTCTGCCAGCTCTTGGAGAGTACCGGTGATCCTGTGCACCGGTCATTGTAAAATTAGGGCCCTGCAGACTTTCAGCTCTACAGGTAATGATTAGAGCAGAAAAATACAAAGTTTTCACCAGGCTAATGTGACCATTAATAAAATCTGGGAATGAAGGTGGTGGTATTTCAACGTCATGTATTTACCTGGATTTAAGTTTTTAATAGCATTTTTCATTTTTAATGAAAGTAATCTGTAATTGCAACTCTTAACATACCCTCTTACAAAGCACAGTTACATGCCAGCAATGATGAATACATAATAATGTTACCTCATTTGTCTTTTATTGCCAAAATAACAAATATATTAAAAATTACCTGAGTTGCAGCCGAGTTCTTAAAATATTAAGCTAAAATAATTCTCAAGGTTTTTATTTGCTTTCTGTGTTTTGTTCACATAGGTTCTTCCTTCAGAATATTGCTAAGCATAGGCTGAGTTTGACAGGACTAGTTGTATTTTTGTATATGCATCAAAGCGTTCTGTGACATTAAGCTTTTAGTCTGAATGCTAGATTTCACTGTGCTGTCCTGAAAACCTTTGCTCAACGCTAGCGCCCTTTCTCTGCAGTGGAATTGCTCACCGTAGTAAAGACTACACCAGTAAGTTCCCCAGTTCATGAGAGCAGAATGATCCATTTCATGTGTATGGTTGATTTATTTGGATTCCATGTGTTTACATGACACTTAGATCTATAATAAGAGCAAAGAATATTTTCCCAGGAAGCAGTTCTGTACTGGGGACATAGTCTGATCCTGTGAAACCATTTCCCACAAAAATAAAAAATGGCTTTGGCTGCACAGTTCTGTGTGTCTGTGATACAACACAGGAGCACGCAATACAGAACATTAGTTTTAATTTTGTATTAAATCCCAGCACTTTCCTGTCCCCAAGAATAAAATAACGAAAAAGCAGAGCGAGAATGGAAGTTGTTACTGAAAGGAACAGTCTCTCTGGTTTGTATTTGGACAACATCTAGCTCGAGGGCTAATGAAGCTCTGGTCTATGACCCGAGCATCAAACTGCTGCCACAGCAAAATGTCCCTTAAGTGCACTCTGGAGAGCAGTCGGATGCTGTCATCAGTTGGGTCTTTTAAGACTGAGGCAGAGAAAAATTTTCCTGTGGATCAGTAAAACGTGTCAGAAATGCATCCCGTCTCCCTTACTTTTCCTACTCAAATCAGCAGTAAAACGGTTCTGTTTGGGTATAAGTATAAGAAAGCAAGAAACCGCTGCTGAATATACAACCCCAGAACTTCACAGTAAGTTAAACCCCTTTTTGTTTGAGGTAAAGTCATATGAATTAAGTATTTGTGCTTTTGTAACCTTTAATGTTGGACTCATTTCACAAAAGCACTTTGGTGTCTAGCTCCCACTGATTTTAATCCTGGATTTTAATTAAAGTGGTAGCATCTTAAGGATGAAATGCCCTAAGTATCTCAAGAGTCTAGACCTCTGAATCCAGCCCCACATGTGCAACAGCCTGTGGAGTTAAGACTTAAATATCAACTGCATCTACTGAAGTCCCCTAGGTAAAATAGTTTCAGAGAAATTCAGAAAAATACAGCTGAATCGTCTGTGCAAGAAAAACTTGATGGTTAAGTGCACGTGAAAAAAAATCTGCTATTATTTGGAGATACTATTTTTAATATTGTGAATCTGACCTGTGCCTCTGAAGCAGAGAGCAAAACAGGTAGTTCTCATTTTTCCGTCTTTTCAGCTTGCCTAGAAATGGCAAAATGTCAGAGCACTTTGTTCAGCAAACCTGGACAAGGTGGACCAGAGTTTAGCAGTAAACGTGAACATCTGTCTTTGGCAGGTTGTTCATAGGCTTTTTTATGTTTTGTCTTCATGACACTTTTTTCTTTATATTCTTGATTCCAGTCACTGCTTTGGTTTTTCTTGTGCACTTGAGATGCTGTCTCTCTGGGTGCAATTCTGCTCTGCCGAGGGGGAGTTGGAATCACAAATCCCTGGGATAGGGAGGGGAGGAGTTTTTCAGTAGCGTTGTACAGCTGCTGTTGCCAGGCTTGTACCCTCTTGAAAAGTGTGGGCTCTTGGACTTGGCTGCCTGACACGTCCAGCTGATGTGGGCTGGCCTAGCATCTGCTGCATTCATTGTGTTTAATGCTGCATCCATCTGTTTTCTGTCAAAGCCACTGCCAACAAATTACTAATCTATTAGAGAAACATGAAAATAAGATTGCACTCCTCATTCCTGGCAATTCCTCTTGTATTTTGTTTGGCTTTTGTTTTGCCTTTTTTTTCGTGTGGTCTGGGAAAGGTATAAGAATAGCTAGTACTTGAGGTATTGAGGAAATGCTTAGGGGAAAAAAAACATGGAAAAAAACATTGAAACTTGTTTTCCTGACTGAAAAGATACCACTTCCCTGTGCTCTTGGATGTGTATCCCTGGAGATGAATGATTAGGAGCTATTTTAACTGAGCCACATATTTTTATGGAGAAGATTCCACTGTTTTTTCTGTGTTGTGTTTACACTGGAGAAGCCAAAGCACGAAAGAAGAGATTTTTTTGTCCCAATTCAAAATAGCATCAAAACAGCAATAGTGTTTAGCATTGGTGTTTGCTCCTCCATTTGCTTTGTAGACCCTAACTGACAAAACAAATTGTCTTTATGTAAATTGGACTGACAGTAGCTCCCAGTGATTATGGATATCAGGTCTGCTAGTCTAGGGAGGGAATTTGCTTCACTTTGGAAAGCGGTGTTACTAATAGTGTGTACATAAAATGTGTTAGCTGGCTGTGAGTAATCTTTGAGTGCACACCTACACCATCGTGCTGTGTTACATCTTTCTTACACAAAACAACTGGAAAACCAGAGCAGCATCCGGGTCATGTGTTACACCTTTATCACAGAGCAGAGCAGCTTGAAACTGGTGAACCCTTCAGTCTGTGGTCACCTGTGTTCAATCAGAAGTGTGACATGAGCAGGTCTCAGTAACCAAAACTCTGGCTAGGGATGATGAACAGAAAAGAGTCAGAGGAGGAGAAGTGGCAGGGCAGTCTGAAGTCAGCATAAAGCTGAATCTGGAGGCTTTCATCTGTCTGGAACCACATCTTGGGGATCTTTCTGTAAAGACTCCCAGGCAGAAACATGGTTTCTAAAACAGAGCCGAATTGTTGCTCCATTTCCTTGGGAAGTGTCGGTCTCATGCGTTCTTGCTGAGGAGAACTCGTAGCAGAGTGAGTCAGCTACCAGGTGGGGCAGAGGGGAGGATTAGCCAAAGCACAGCAGCAGGAGCATATGAATTAATTATGTGTGCATTCAAATGATGGATGAATATATTTATTTTAAATATAAACAGGAGTTGCATGCCACCGACTCCTCCGCCTGGTAGCTGAGGCCTGAGGAGGGACATGGCTGATCTCCATGTTCAGAGGAAGAGTCCAAGGGCTGCTGCCTTTGAACGAGCGTGGGAATATCGGAGAGTACTCAGGAAACTCTGCTCTGCAGCATCCCGCAGGGAGGGAACGGGTCATGTTTCCACTAATCTGGATGAGATGGAAATAAAGACAAGTCAAAACTGATGACTGAAGTAGTGTAATATGATCCATTTCCTCAAATAATTTTCTATCGTATCTTTACCTTCTTTTTCCCCCTCTTTCTCATGCTTCTTGCATTTGTTTCTGTAACACTGACTGCTGTACAGTTGGCCTTTTCTTGAGCTTTCAAGATGACAGGAAGATCTGCACTCAAATGAGTTAAGCTGCTGCAAGCAGAGCAGTTTGTTCCAGTGACAACGTAGATTGGGGTCAGCCAGGTTTTCACGCCATCCTTCATAAGGCATCTGTTTATATTAGCTTAGCATCTTTGTACTATTGCTGATTACTCTTGTTTTCCCAGAGGAGGTGTGCTGTAAGCTACCACCCCTTCTGCTGCTGCAGCCAAACTTTGAACTTACCAGGAAGGCAGGGTAGTGCAGGAGGGAGCCCAGCAGCCATCCTCACTGGTCCATGCCAGAGCATCTCTTAACACAAATAGGCCCAACAGTTAGCAGCAAGGAGCCGGTGAGAATAGCCTGTTGCTGAAATTGCAGAAACATGTAGAAATGAAAACATGAAATTACTAAAATAGGATTCTCCCTTGAGCTTATGTCATGGGTTTCTTACATGCCACGTATCTCTTTACTGCATAAGGCAGTTTTGTACTGCGTGCTGTGTTGTTAACCGTCTGGAGGCTGCACTTTTCTGCATTGTCTGTTATCCCATGACATATATTAGGCAGAAAATGTTTGAGGGTACATGAAAACCAGGTTCATAGGATCATTCAGGTTGCAAGGGTTCTCAGGAGTTGTTCTTGGCTGACCTTGTATTCAAATCGGGGTGAGATACAACATCAGAGCAGGTTACTCATGGCTTTATCCAACTGGGTCTTGAAAACCTCCAAGGAAGGAGTCTGCCCAACCTCTCTGGACAGTTTGTTCCACTGCTTGTCTGTCCTCATGGTGAAAAAGTTGTTGCGACTTTAAAGGCCAGCATGGTTCACTTTAGTTCACATGTGTAAAATACTTGCTCGGGAGTTTAATGTTTTTCTCTGTGCTTTTTATCATTTTACTCAGGAAACTACTCCAGACCACCGACGTACAGTGGAGTGCCCAATACAAGTTACAGTGGCCCAGGACCCGGCATGGGTATAAATGCCAACAGTCAGATGCATGGCCAGGGGCCAAGCCAGCCTTGCGGTACCATGCCCCTGGGGCGGATGCCATCCGCTGGGATGCAGAGCAGACCATTTCCTGGAAACATGAGCAGCATGACCCCCAATTCTCCTGGCATGTCTCAGCAGGGAGGCCCCGGGATGGGCCCACCCATGCCAAGTGTGAACCGTAAGGCACAGGAGGCGGCTGCTGCAGTGATGCAGGCTGCTGCAAACTCCGCTCAGACCAGGTATGTGTCCAGGTGGAAGGAGTTTAAATGAGTCGGAATGTTTTTCTTGTCATTTCTGAAGTAACAGCTCTGTATAGGTGTATGTATATGCATTTATATATGTTCTGTTTGTGCCCTTATCTCTGAGAGGAGAAGGCGCGTGGGAAGAATACTTTTCCTTAAATGTAAAAGGAAAGCGTGCTATCATATGTTTGACTTATCCTCTCAAAAAGCAGCTGTGACAGTGGAGATGACAGCCACTTCCAGTTTGGTTCTTGGTGCTGTAGGCTTTAGGAAAACCCACAGGGTTGCAATGACATTCAGAGTTGAAAACAAACCCTCTGGAACTTAAAATTAATTAGCTGGATATATATTTTTTTTATCTCTGGTAGAGCAGGGGCCAAAATGTCCTTGGCAGCTTGCCCCTGCCAGAGAGTAAGCTCGCTCATGAAGCTGCCCATCAACTCTTGCATGTACTGCCCATGCTGCGAGCAGCAGCGCTGAGCCCAGTTCTCTTCTATGGGATGTTCTCATTCCTGTGGAAAGAGGAGGACAGACTGAGGGAAGCAGCTGGAGGGGGAAGCCAGGAGGAGGCATAAAAGCCATCTGTAGTTATCTGGAGTTGATAACTGCCACTTGTGCATCCCTGAGAGAGAACCTGCGAACAGGATTGTAGAGGCTGGAGCCATCATCTGTCGGCTTGTCTCTCCATCAGGCAGCGTAACGGCATGTTGCCATTTGTGCAGGGATTTTAGCAAAGGCACTTTTCTTTCCATGATTATTCTTAAGATGCCAGAATACTTGCAATGAAATCATATTTTCTGGGAAATTTTTCAGATGAAGTAATTTCCACGTTTCCCTGGACTCAAATAACTGCTGGTGTATTTATTATCTTTTTCTGTTACAAGAAGTTCCATTGCATTCGAGAATTACACTGTTCTGGTAAGCATGTTTACGTGTGGGTCTGTATTAAGCATCTTGCATTCATTTATGCATATACACAGGTGCACATACACGCATACAGGTATTTATCATTCGAGGCTGGTGTTTGTGGACACGAGAGTTGCTCTGATTCCAAGACCCGTTGTAAAACTGGAAATAAGAAGCTAATGTGTCCTTGTATCTGTTGTATTTTTGTTTCAGGAGTTTGGAAGGCAGGTGGCTTCTGGTGATAAGCAGTAGCAAACTTCTAAAACAGCAACAGTAAATTTAGTGTACTTCATGTTCTTGCTCAGTAAAATAGGACCACACTCCCTTAAAGCAGACCATACCTCAGCAGATATCTGTAAACGAGCAGTCTCTCGCTTGTGTTGGTTGTTTTAACAGACCTGTCTAGTAGGATTTACAGAAGTGCTTCTGTCTGTCTGGTTTAGGCTATAAGCTGATAGGTCAGGCAGGAAGGAATAAATGGGGCATCACTGCAGCTGCAGGAACACTTTATAGTCATGTAATGAAAGGAAAAGCTCACGTTTGTTCGTCTTTACAGCAAGAAAAAAGACTTTTTGTTAAGCAGAAAGTATTTGGTTGTGATTCAACTTACACTTTGGGCATAGCATGTGGTGTTTGATCAAAAACTAGGTTAAACGATTACCACTCCTATCTCACACCTTCCTCCCAAGTCAGTTTCGTAAAACTGCTTTTGGTCTCTAGGTTTGCTTGGGCAAAACTGCACCTTTTCAGAGCACTTTTTCAGACCCAGCACCTGTGGAAGGGCTGAGCAGTCATCAAATCTCCTCTATTGCAAACACTGGCAAAAGGGCTGTTTATAAACTGCAAATTGACCGAAACCTGTCACACCTCTCTGAAGCCAGGGGCTTGCAAGCACACAGTTTTCCTCTTTGATCTCAACTCAGCCGTAGGGGAAAAAGCGTAATGGCTTTTGGCTGTTGCTGCGAGTCCTCCATACTTGCACATGGAAGGAATATACTTGAGAGTGATTCGTGTTTGTGATACAGGGCAGATCCAGAGAGGCTGCTCTTTTGTTCTGCTTTAGGCCACCCTACATTAGGTAGCCTGCCTATCCCAGCCAGTCTGGGGCTGGCAGACGCCTCATGTTTTCTTCACAGCACCCAAACTATGGCAACGCTCAGGCTCCCTTCATGCACCAGCCTGACCAGTACGGGTCGGTAGCAATGTAAACTGGACTTGCTGTGAGACCTTGGCAGGTTTTTTTTAATGTTTGTGAACATGCCATCTGGCTGCTGAAGGAGTATAAAAATCATGCGAAAGATACACAAATACTGGCATCATAGAGAGGATTTTAGTTTTTTGTTTTCTTTTTACTAAAGCCACTGTGACAGTATGATTAAAATCTGCATGTCACTCGCTCTCACACCTGCATGGCTTTTGGCATGGCTCTGTCTCCTTGGGCCTGAGAGGGAACTGAAAAACCTCATCACTGAGAAGGAATGAGATTCCTCCTCCTCCTGATCCAGGCGTCGTCTTTTCCCCTCATTTTGGGTATTCTTGTCTCACAGTGGTGCTGTGCAACCCTATTTTCTTGACTTGGTGGTGGTATTATCACTGCTGCCTGGGCAGTCAGCTGCAACCCCCAGAGTATGATCCCTTTCTGAGAGGTGGTGTGCTGCAGGAGTGATGACAGGGTTTCTTAATGGGATTTCCAATAAAGTTTTATTACACTCTGAGCGTGCGTGCATTTGAAAATTTTCAGTTAGTCACTAGAACAATTTTTAGGAGCAATATCCAGTGGAAAACGTTCACCTGAAATGCAGCTACTCTTCTCACTGGAGTCCTTCACACTGTGATTTCTGTAAGCATATTATAAATTAAAGCACTGGGAGGAAATATCTACACTGGCTCTAGCCTGTTGCTTCCTTACAACCAAGTCCAGCTTCACCCGAGATTCACGTTTCATGGAGTTCCCTGCCACCATGTTATTTCAGTTGTTACCTCCATAGGAAATCTGAAATACCCAAATTACTACTGCCTCCATGGTTATTAACAAGTATTAATTACCAGTTTTCTGTAGCTACTTTTGTTTGGTTGTTTTTTCCTTAATAACATCATTCATATACGTGCATATGGAAAAGTACAAAGCAAAACAAAAAAGCAGAACACGAGCCTACTGGTTCTCCTGTTCAAAAAGCAAAAAGTAGTGAAATGGGAGAGCACTCACACTATACTGCTTTGTCTAACTGGAAAGACATCTACTGTTATATGCCAAAGTGCATGAATAGTGTCTGGCCTTTTTCTTTGAATGTCTTTGAGTTTTTAAGATTCAGCTGTGGGGTTCAGAAACTATTGGATTTTAGTACTATAAAACACACCCCTCTATGTAGAACTAAGAAGAAAATGAAATGGTTGTGTCAGAGTCATGGTTACACAGCAGTATTTCTGTACAAGTTGGTTGCGATCTCCTTCAAGGTCAACTTGTTGAATCAGTAGCCAAGTATCATAGGGGAGTGAAATTTATCTTCAGCTGTTAATCCACAGGATCTATCCGTTACCAGCTCAGGAGTCTCATTTAGACATAGCTGGTTTGCCTCTGCCTTGCCAAGCCACACTAAGCAGCTGTGTAAAATGAATTTAAATGGCGTGCATCAGAATAACATCACTTCCACTGGGGCAGAAAATCAGTGTTCGTTAACCAGGGCTGGATGATCAAGATCTGAGTGTCAGCCAGTTATACCTAGGTATCATCCTCAGTGCAGGCCACCACCCTTTTAATTAGAGAAGATACAATCATATAAACAGAAGTGATGGCTGTGGAAGATACTAGGTTTATGCCATTTGAATTAGTCTTTGATCTCACCTTGAGGCCTGCTCTGTGTTAAGCCTAGATTAATTTCTACAGCTACATAATACCTTCTCTGTAACCTAAAATCTTACGATGTGCTAGTCTGTCTTGCACATGGAGGCTAGTGTTTCCCAAATGATACCTAACATGTCAGGCTGAAGAGAAGAAAGGTGTTTTTAAGACCTCTCAATTGAACTGTCAGTGTCTGTGATTTCACGCTACCCAGGATGTTTAAGCTTGGTCTGGGTAACAGTTTACAGCAGGCAATGCTAAGTAACTCTGTAATACCATGTATAGTAATTCTCCTTATTTTCAGGAAGACAATGTGAAGGAACTGCAAAACAGTGCTTTCTTTTTTCTATCTGTCTTAGTCTCAGCACAGCCATTGACTGGTAAGGGCTGTATGTTGAAGACCAATTATATGCACTGAACTCCAAGGAAAGACTTTTCATAACTTAGGTTGGCATTGGCTGAGACCCCAAGATCTGGTTCTGCTGCTGGAGGTTATAAACCAGCAGAGGCCTCTGAGGACCAGGTCGCTCCAAAAAATAAAGTCTTTTATCTCACTGTAGTTCTTTCAGCCATGTATGTATTTATAGTGATAGGTAAGTATTTGTGTGTGCAGACCTGCCACACAGTAAGCCTTCAGTAAAAGCAAACAATTTTAAGCAAATGAAATAGCTTTTTCCCTGTTGATGTGAAAGGCAGCAAATTTAACCAGTATTTTCTAGTGCCAGATGAATTTGAGTTCCTCTGTTTGTAGGTGCCCAACTTGAAACTTTTCAAGACTTACGTGCTCATCATCTGTGAGCTTTTGTTTCCCACCGTAAGTGCCCAGTACACACTTGAAAATTGATTATTAGGTTGACGTCTGAAGCCAACAGATGTTTTTGGAGCTGGATGCTTGCCATCACCATTTTCGGCATCTCTTGCGCTAGCAGTGAGTGTCAGTTTGAGCATGTCTTCTCAGCAGTTGAAGGTGTCACTGTAGTATATGGAAAAGGTAAAAATGTAGTTGTGAAATAGCTGGCTTATGTACTGCTGGCAGTGCAGCCTTAGGAAGGTGTAATTCAGTGCTAGCTGGCTGTAAAATACACATCCAACTGGTTGCTAAAATGAGCATCTTGCTGGTGCAACTACAGTTATCAATACCTGAACTAATTACTATAAAACGAGTTTTGATGTGCCTACGCGAGGAGCAATCCTATCTTTGAAGGCAGGGTCTTTGACCTCAGTGTACTGTACCTTAATATGATTCTTGGGA